AGCTAACTTGTCTGACATGTCATGTTGTAGCTCCCCAGGTTGTAGGGAAGATTGCTTGGTGACATGAGCTAAAAGTTTGTCATGTGTGGGCTCTTCATTCATTTCAGAAGTCAGAGTACCTACATCAGGAGACGAGATCAGCGAAATTCTGAAGGACAATCGCTGCAGTCAGTTGTGTGTGTGTGACTGAGATAATATGAGCTTGATGGGAGCTCAGTAACTTGCGAAAACGCTGTGAAATCCGATCCGCAAGTTGTTGTGTTTTCGTCTTCTGATGGGAGACGAATAGGGCGATTTCTGATGGGGAAATCGCGACAGTTAGCTGTAGGCGTAACTGCGACTGTTAATCTGACAGAAATAAATGAATATAGACTATAAGCCTATAGTTGACTAGTTCCTACAAGTTGATCGTTATCAATTCAAGTAAAAAGCATGCAGTGAGAAAAGCGATGATCCATCACTTTTCCACACGAATCCTATGATTTGTCAGAGAACTGCTGACTCAGTTCTTTTCTACGCTAAATTAATGGCGTGTAACAGTTTGCGCATGTGTGATGCGTGCGGCGCACAGGCTACACTTCAACCTGGGAATCCTATAGGTCGAGTCACAAGTCCCGTTCCTGTTAGAATTCTGTCACTCCCCAAATGGGACGAAGTGAGGACCTAGTCCTCTTGATCAGCAGTATCTCCAGACCAGAACATTAAAGTTGGTAGAAGTGTCCAGATTTGCTGATGACCCCAATGTTTGCTGAGGATATCAGCTGGGTTGAGAGCACTGTCAATGTGGACAATAGATAGCATGTTAGCTGCTACTGCTTCTCTCACACGGTGGAATGACAATGCAACATCTTGATTGTGTAGCTTCGCTTCAGGTAGGGAAGAACTGTTCATGACAGATTCATTGTCACCAGACATGTAGCTTTGACCTCTGATCGACACACCAAGGTACCTCAAGGTTTGTTGGAGATCCATGATCTGTTTGGCACAGGTTTGAGTGGCTACAGGCTCAGAATCATAAGTAGCAGTCTCAACAGTTGGCTGCTCCTTAGATAAGAAATCAATTGAGGTTCCATTCAACATACACTTTGGTGAAGTAGTGTGTAGCAATCTCAGCTTGACTTGATTGGATGGACAAAGAAGTTTCTTCTTGTCCTTGACTATATTTCCAAGAAGTGTACAACCTTGACTTTCCAATATGTTGTGATTTCTAGCATAGGCAATAGTGGTTGCACATGCTTTATACCACACTCCATCTATGACGATCTCGTGGTTCTTAGCTTCTTGTTTGCCTTTGCAATGTTTGGTTGCAGGAACCAAAGCTAACTTGTCTGACATGTCATGTTGTAGCTCCCCAGGTTGTAGGGAAGATTGCTTGGTGACATGAGCTAAAAGTTTGTCATGTGTGGGCTCTTCATTCATTTCAGAAGTCAGAGTACCTACATCAGGAGACGAGATCAGCGAAATTCTGAAGGACAATCGCTGCAGTCAGTTGTGTGTGTGTGACTGAGATAATATGAGCTTGATGGGAGCTCAGTAACTTGCGAAAACGCTGTGAAATCCGATCCGCAAGTTGTTGTGTTTTCGTCTTCTGATGGGAGACGAATAGGGCGATTTCTGATGGGGAAATCGCGACAGTTAGCTGTAGGCGTAACTGCGACTGTTAATCTGACAGAAATAAATGAATATAGACTATAAGCCTATAGTTGACTAGTTCCTACAAGTTGATCGTTATCAATTCAAGTAAAAAGCATGCAGTGAGAAAAGCGATGATCCATCACTTTTCCACACGAATCCTATGATTTGTCAGAGAACTGCTGACTCAGTTCTTTTCTACGCTAAATTAATGGCGTGTAACAGTTTGCGCATGTGTGATGCGTGCGGCGCACAGGCTACACTTCAACCTGGGAATCCTATAGGTCGAGTCACAAGTCCCGTTCCTGTTAGAATTCTGTCACTCCCCAAATGGGACGAAGTGAGGACCTAGTCCTCTTGATCAGCAGTATCTCCAGACCAGAACATTAAAGTTGGTAGAAGTGTCCAGATTTGCTGATGACCCCAATGTTTGCTGAGGATATCAGCTGGGTTGAGAGCACTGTCAATGTGGACAATAGATAGCATGTTAGCTGCTACTGCTTCTCTCACACGGTGGAATGACAATGCAACATCTTGATTGTGTAGCTTCGCTTCAGGTAGGGAAGAACTGTTCATGACAGATTCATTGTCACCAGACATGTAGCTTTGACCTCTGATCGACACACCAAGGTACCTCAAGGTTTGTTGGAGATCCATGATCTGTTTGGCACAGGTTTGAGTGGCTACAGGCTCAGAATCATAAGTAGCAGTCTCAACAGTTGGCTGCTCCTTAGATAAGAAATCAATTGAGGTTCCATTCAACATACACTTTGGTGAAGTAGTGTGTAGCAATCTCAGCTTGACTTGATTGGATGGACAAAGAAGTTTCTTCTTGTCCTTGACTATATTTCCAAGAAGTGTACAACCTTGACTTTCCAATATGTTGTGATTTCTAGCATAGGCAATAGTGGTTGCACATGCTTTATACCACACTCCATCTATGACGATCTCGTGGTTCTTAGCTTCTTGTTTGCCTTTGCAATGTTTGGTTGCAGGAACCAAAGCTAACTTGTCTGACATGTCATGTTGTAGCTCCCCAGGTTGTAGGGAAGATTGCTTGGTGACATGAGCTAAAAGTTTGTCATGTGTGGGCTCTTCATTCATTTCAGAAGTCAGAGTACCTACATCAGGAGACGAGATCAGCGAAATTCTGAAGGACAATCGCTGCAGTCAGTTGTGTGTGTGTGACTGAGATAATATGAGCTTGATGGGAGCTCAGTAACTTGCGAAAACGCTGTGAAATCCGATCCGCAAGTTGTTGTGTTTTCGTCTTCTGATGGGAGACGAATAGGGCGATTTCTGATGGGGAAATCGCGACAGTTAGCTGTAGGCGTAACTGCGACTGTTAATCTGACAGAAATAAATGAATATAGACTATAAGCCTATAGTTGACTAGTTCCTACAAGTTGATCGTTAT